GTTACTAAAGGGCCAAGTGCTACTTTTTTCCTCGTTTTTTTTCCTCGTCTTCTTTTCCGTCTTCTTCTTCTTCTTCTTCCTCTACGTTAATCTCCGTCTCTTTCTTCTTCTTATTCATATGCTCTTTTCTCTTCTTCCTTCCTTTTTCCTCCTCGTTGTCCTACTTTTCCTCACCCTCCCTTCCTTATTTTTCCCTTTCCTCTTCTTGTTTCTCTCCTTCATCCTCTTTCATCTCTCTCCTTTTATCTTTTTCTTTTTCTTCTCTTCCTCCTCCTTTTCGGTCTCTTGTTCTTTCTTCCCCTCTCCGGTCTATTTTTCTTTCTCTTTCTGTGTCTTTTCCTCTCATTCTCTTTTCTGCTTCTTCCCCTTTCTTTCTCCTGAACTTCCACTTTGACTATCCCCCCTCCTTTAGGTTAATTGTAGCTGAACCAGAAATTGAGTGTCCTCATCGCTCTACACGGTCCAATATTCATAGCTTTTCTTAAAAAGAAATGTTTCATGAGAGGCAATTTAGCAACGTGAGGGTGCTTTTACGGCGTTCTTCCCTAGCCCGGGTGAATACTACAAGTGCCATTAGGCACTATCACTGGTAACGGTTGGATAAGAAAGTAGCAAAGAGCCCGAGTCTAGAATTCCACTAATTATTGCGAGACAAGTGATGCGATGAGTGTCTTCACTAGCGCACTCTCGCGGAGTATATAGCACAGATGAGACGCAGGACCACTTTTGACTTTGTAAAATAATGTCGTATCCTTGGCGCTTGACCAAACTTTCATTTTTCACGATGGCCGCGACCGAGATCGTGTGCGCTGGAGATCAACTTGTTCCTCGAGGAAGATAAGGAGGAGTAATTATAACGACCCTACTTGCTCACCATTAATCTCGTGTATTCGCTCCGTTGGCGCTACCGTATCATTCCGGCCGCGGCTGGCCAAAGCTCAATTAGCGCAGGTTGTGTTTTATGTAAATACTCCCGTTTGTTTCACTTAATCATTTTGGTGCCCCACTTGCGAGCAAGAATATCAACAGCCGTGCGTATGAGCGCACGCAGGACTCACTCCATCTGGGTAACCTCGATGATAATTCGTCTACCGAAAAATAGATTAAAATCGCAAGAGCAGCAGTATTTTCAAAAACATGCGTGTCCTACAGGGACTCTAGTCACCTGAATCAGAAATTCCCGACTTGTGGGTCATTTCATCTGTGACCTTGCATAGATTCGTGTTAAAAAAGTATGAGAAATTATCATCGCTGAGATTGATAGGTAGCCCACAAAATGTCCTCTCATACTAATAATCATATGGTAGAAAAAATACAAAATTTTCTAACTACAACAATTTCTACATTTTTTTCTCGCCCTGCAAAATTTTCAGTTTGCAGATAGGCGGTATTGTTTCTTAGCCATCGATATGTATAAAATATTTCCGCTCTCGGCAGAGAATTAGCGGAGTAAATGGTTGGAAGCGAAAGAATCAAACGTCGAGTAAAAAAAGAGAGAAAATGAAAGTGGTGCTACAGAGTATACAAATAATCTAGTGAATATATGCAGGATCATGATCCTCCTCGCATGAGCGACGCGAACGCGCGCGGTGGTGGTGGGTGGCGATGTGGCAAGAGAAATACATATTTAAAATGTTTGCTTAAATAAAATCAGCGAGGTGAAGCGATTTTTAAGTAAATCCTCTGAGTTATACGAGATATTTTGTCGGGTTATTTTCTTACTCTACTTTTCCCCCGCTCCGGAATGCATCCAAGCCGTTAGTTTACCATCACATGCACCTGCACCCTGTAGCGTGTATTCTAGGAACTTCTCTGCCGTGCTCGGGAAAAACACCGTATGAACCTCCAGGCGTTGCCAAATTTTCTTTGATAAAACACGAATTTCCTGGTGAACTTTCGAATATTTTCTTTCCGATTTTTTTAGATAATTTTGCTCGCAATTTCATCTTAAGTTCCTGAAAATATCGAGGAAATATATTCATAACTTTCCTCAAAAATGAACATTTTATCGAAGGAAATTTGGCAACTCTCGAATGTTCATACGGCGTTTTTCCCTGGCACGGCAGTTCTGTAGGGAATGCGCAACTCCCTTACTCGTGCTCCTCCTCTGCGTACCATTTATAAAATACGCCCGGTGCGAGAGGGTGAATCCGGGCAAATATTGTTGTTTTCCCTCCTGTCATGAGACTTCCCTTTGTTCTTCTCGTGAATCCTCGGATAAGGTATGGCGCTGAATTTTGGATTTCCCTTTTGGTTTGGCCTTTTTAATTTTGGGTTGATTTAACTTCAATAGTAAATGTTTTTCTCATTTAGTTCCTTAATTGTAACGTTACGAGTTTGTCTACAAGTTTAGATCTTGATGCGCCTTTAAAATCTGAAATCGATTAGGGACGAGCCCCTGAATCCTTTCTAGAGCCATCGATAGCCTCCCCTTATTTTTATTTTTTCTCATAGCTCTCATTCAAGGTTGCAATCTCCGAACAGGATTAAATCCCTGAAGCAACCTAAAAATATAGAGAAAAGAGTAACTATTATAAGTCGATTTATTCCACCTCTTAAAATGCAAGTCTCTTTTTTTGCATCGATTGATTGTACTTTTAGCGGGTCCATAAAATAAATGATGTAAAATATTTTTTGTGGTGTGGGGAGGTTGAAGGGATCTGACTAGAGAGAGTGAGCAGGGATTAAGAAAATCCCCGGGAAGGCCCTGGCGTTATCTAGAAATAACCCTTTCGTAAGAAAATAAGAAAAAATGCACAATTTATGCTAATTCAAAACAGGAATATCACAGACAAGCCTGTCGCAAAAATCTGTGTCAAGAAACCGTCGCAAAAAAATGTGTAAAGATAAATTGAAAAAATTAGAGAAGCTCCTATCGGCTTGCTTCAGTTGCGTATTTTGACACCTATTAAAAACTTTTTCATGACCACGAGAAATTCGAGAGCCTTGATGGTAGTAACAAAGCTCGCTACTTCTGAATATTTAAAGTTTCATTCCCTCTTACAGAGACTAGGATTTTACGTGAACGAGGTTTTCCTTTTTTCCGTTTTTCTTCCTTTTGTCACTGCGGCAGTTCTTAATAAAAATTAATGTGGTATACACGAGACTACCCGGCTCTTTCTTCTTTTTAATCAACTCGAGTAACTTGAATTTCTTATAAGGCATTTTTCACAATTATTTCTCTGTCAAGTTGTGGCGCAGCGCAGCACCGTTTCCTGTTACCGTTGCTTTCCGATTATACTCTCTTACGACTCCAGATTGACAATAACTATAAATTCGGCGTTGCCAATTTTCCCCCTCGCATGAGGTTTTCCGCGAATAATTAAAGCTCACGTAAAATGTGCACTTAACCTGGAAAATCGACATCACAGCGCATCAACGAGTTACACGGGACTGTCGGAAAAATATACGATTTTATGTATGGTTGTGACGTCTTGCAATGTCACGTCAAGTTAACTACACGAATAATATAAAGAATCCAAAGGAGAATCCGCAGCATTGCCGAGACAACGTGTTTAATGTCAAAGAGTTTAAAAGAGACTTTAAGAAGGATATCTATTACATTTTACTAAAAGCATTTTATTAAAAACGATGCAATCGACAGAGTCGTTACACTCCGTTACAGTCAGTGCCTTTGTATGGATTTATAAAGAAGAGATGCAAATTTCTATTTAAGCACCGTCTGCCTGAAAATGGAATTTCTGGAAATATATTTGCATTTGTAATTAAAGAATTACGTAAACGTGCTTAAAAATATGCACGGAAAATTTCAGTTTTGAAGATGGTTATCACAGCCGAGTGCAAAGTTGCCATTACACGCATACTATTGTTCGTTTATTGAAGTTCCCGTTTTTGACCTGTGCGTAAATTTTGGGTTGTGAACCAATCCAAAGCTTAATTAAATGGCATTGGCGGATCCGCGGCAAGTTGGCAATATTGTTTTTTTCACCATTTATAAACCCATGAAAATGTATCGATTCTTGAAGGAGCCAGGTGTTCCGCCAAGAATCGATTATTCAAAATGGCTTTAAATGGAAGGAAGCCAGTTGACAACCTTCTGGGCCTGCGTCTATAAACGGGCGAGGAAAATGGAGCAGAATGCCTACAAAAATTTCACGTTGGATTTTCTTGATATTCCCCTGATAATTTAAACGAGATTACGTGCTTTTTTGCGCGAAAAAATTGACAATTTTTGTTAAGACGTAAAATTATGGGGTCAATTGAAAATCAAAAAAGAGACCAGTAGTGCAGCAAAAATGTTCGGAATCCAGATGTTTGTTTACTTCCGGTATTGATCCCCTTTAATTAATAATCCCTATCCGATTCAAATCCGCCGTAAAGGCGATGGACCGCCCACAGGAGACTCGAGTTAGGTTAGATTGGGTCACGCAACTAAATTAACTTCTCGGCAACGCGAGAGGCGTCACACGGAAATGAAGGCGCGTCACTGCAAAATCGCGCAGATTTCCTCTGCAGCTGCAATTAACGGAGGGTTTCGAGTTTCTCTCCTTTTCTCTTTGGTACACTGTGTACACTGTGTGTTTTCGTGCACAATGTGTGCATTGTGCACGAGTAACAAATCGATGGCTAATGTTAACAATTGCGCAACTTTATTTTGACGCTGCATTTATGTTTCATTTTTTAAAAGGAAACCAACCGACCGTTTCTTTTGGAATTTTCCCTTCTAATTAGGATATATTCTAATGAATTTGTAGTAGAATAATTAAACATGCCTCAAATCGCATTCTTTAAAAGTATGGTAAATAGTGTATTAATTTACCCAAAATTACATAGATTCACGATAGAATTTACCATACTTCTGGTAAAATTTGCCATACTTTTTTGCACCACGTATGGCAACTTAGGTGCCCGTAAAAATTGGAAAGTTTTACAATTTAGCGACATTTAGCGCCGGAAAGGTCCTCATGTGCGGGTAACCCAGTGTAGAACCTAAAGTCATCTTCGCGTAGCGCCGAGTTAATCAGAGCACCGTCACGTACCGCAGTTCTGACGCCATGGATAGATTTGGATCATATTTTCATGACCGTCGTCCATGCTCCACTGTATCAGCAATGAAGGCTGTATTTCATGACGAAATTCGGGAAGTAGGCTCAAGGTTCAGCTCAGAGCCTTCCGGCTCTGAGCCTGGGGCCTGGGGGGTTGTGGAGGCCGCCGTGAGAGAGAGGCCTCCGGCCTCCGCCTCCAGGAAGAGCGGCACGGCACGATGCTGTATTGTGGCAGACTGGCAGCGGCCATGCTTTCTTTCCGTGGCCATCCATCCATCCATCCATCCATCCTGAGCTGCGGAAGATTGACGGCGACGCGAAGGGGGAAGAGGACTAGAGAGGCAGCCTCTCGATTGCCGTGTCGCTCACTTCTATGGACACGAGGTCAACGATCCTATCAGCCTCTCAGCCTCACAATCAGCCACAGCTAGCGGTGTCTGCCGCAGCGCTTACAAAAAGGAAGAACCCCGTAAGAGCATTCAAATGTTGCCGAATTCCCCTCGACGAGATATTAGGAGGAAGTTAAACATATTTTTCCTTGAAATTTTCAGCCATTCTAGACTGAATTGCGAGCACAAAAATCTGCGAACTTGAAAGAAAAGCACTGGAAATAGGTTTCCAGTAAATTAGTTTTTCATCGGAGAAAATATGGCAACGTCTGAGGGCTCATACGGCGTTTTCTCTTAGCGCGGCACGAAGGAAGAACGGCGTGTAAGTCTACGGACGCGGCCGAATTTCTTTCGAAAAACAATAGTTTCCTGGGAAACTCGTGAGAGGTTTCCTTCCTATACTTCATGGAATTTTTCTTGGAGTTCGGTAGCAAGTATCTAAAAATTTTAATTAAACACCGGAAAAAAACACATTGGATCTAGAGTCCAGACTCTTGAAAACATTGACAAGAAAACGGACTCTTGATTCAATCAGATTTAAGCTTAAATCAAAAGGAAATCCGCTCAAATTATTAAGAGGCTTGGTTCTTGATTTAAGCTTAGATCTGATTGAATCAAGAGTATTTTTTCTTATCGATGTTTTTAAGAGTCTGGACTCTAGATCCAATGTGTTTTTTTCCCAGTGAATATTAATGAATTTCCTCGAGAATATATATTCATTAGGAGGAAATCTAGCATCACCCAATTATTCATACAGCGTTATTACTTAGTGCGCCATAACGTTAGAACATGACGACGAGCGGATGACGTAATCGTTGTGAAATGAAGATAATTCGGCAATCACGCATAATACTCTATCTTCGCTGCGGGCTGATTATTAAAATTTATAGACAGAGTGATATCCAAAGAAGAAAAACTGAAAATAAAGCGATTCTATTGATGGAGGCGGGTGGTTGCAATGGACATAGGAGGTAAGTAGTAGACTAACTAACGGCAACCCACGAAAGACCCTATTGTTAGTCCATCATTTCTCCCCTCAGTCTATAACAACCACCCGTTTTAACCGAGCCCCTTTATGATGCACGTGAGATCCATTTATTAATGGTTCCCCTGGTAATTTTGGTGTCACAAAATTCAAAAATATGACACAAGCCCTGGTCACTCTGTCAATATTTTCGTCAATATCTCAAGGTTACGATTTCATGAAGACCGGAAGTAACTTCACATCAGTTCATTCTGCAAGGTAGTTACATCATCTCCAGTTTGCACCGATCGCGTGACCTTGCGACATTGACAAAAATATTGATACCATGACCAGGACTGTTCTACTACTCTATGTTCTACCGGTTGCAAAGATAACAAAGTAAAATGGAAAGAAGTCAGAGTTGAGAGGGGAATGAGCCGAGCGATGAAAAAGAAGAGAGAGATAATGGAGGAAAGGAATCCGGAAACTAATACGAAAGATTACAAAAAAAAGTCTTACAAAGTACATAATAATCTTTACGACCATTTATGACTTAAGGACCCAAAATTCCTTAACTCTCGTGTAATGGAACATACGCTCTTTCTGCGGCGAAAAACAATCTTCTTTCATTGAGCCGGCACCACGGTGAGAGAGCAATTTCGAGCCGGTGCAACTACAAAGCGGTGAGTTTACCGGGTACCGCGCACCGGTCGCTATTGTTTACCGTAAGTAAATACTGCCTTACACCAGTCGAGACGACCACTGCGCAGGCGCGGCGCAGCGCGGCACATCGGTACGAGTTTCCGCTCAACTATTACTTCCCGTCGTTCCCGTTGCTACGACTCGAAAACTATCAGTTCCACACACCCCGACTCAGTGCTGCCATTTTATTTTATCAAAAGATTCCGAAATAATTCCGATTTCCGGAAACAAATCCCGATTTGCCAAAGTTCCGAGAAAAATTCCGAAATACGCCCGGATTTAGTTCCAGAGATAGTCAAATTTGATCAAAAAGTCCCTTAATTTGATCAAATAAATGGTCAAACTGTCGAAGCAAGAATAGAGTACCTATTTAGACAGAGTATGGCCAATTCGTTGCCTACCTGACATAAGGGTGTAACTACACTCTGCAATGAACCCTGTCTTCCATACAATTCAATGCTTTTCCGGGCTCATCTCAATGTGTAGTTAATAGTTACGCTCTTATATCAGCTATGCGACGAATTGTGTGCCGGTTTTTCATTGGTCGCGAAAAATAGACTGACACGGTGCACTTTCGGCGGCCAGTAACCAAACAAGATGACGATTTCATGCAACAATTGAATTCCCTCTGAAGGATATCTGATAAAGAATTTAATTATCTGATAGACAAAATCGACTAATTTGAGGTCATACTAATATAATTATTCGAAGAATACAATGTAAATTGAGTTGATCTAGAAAGAGAGGGTCGGTAACGGCACATCTTGAGAAATTTCTCGTGGAAGGGTTGGTTTTCAAGCCTTCATCAACCAATTGGAGCGTTTGTCTATTGACGACCTTAAAGACATCATGACAGCCATGGAGCTCGTAGACCAATCAAAAAGCGACACAACTTCATTGTACCGAGAAGATAAGAATGGAATCGCCATGCTCTGTCTGTCTACGCATTGTGATCCGAAAGTTTCTTCCATCCCCTAAAACGTTTCACCTAATTGAGGTAAAAACTTCAAACATAGGGGATGTTCCTAGGTCAAAGGAGGCTACTTTTTGGCCCCCCTAAAATTTTCAGGAAGCGCCTCGGGGAGGACAACGGACCCCAACTTTTTTTTTAAAATGGAAAGACCCCCCTTGTGATACCTTGTCCAAAAGAACATGAAAAAATACAACTCTTCTCGCAAACTCGAAGCCAATACCTTAAACCGTTTCAAAATTGCGGCACCTTCTCGTAAAAATGAATATTTTATTGGAGATAATTTGTTGGTTTTGTTGTTTGGATTTGGTTGTTCATGCGTGGCATTCTCCCTTTAGCACGCGGCATGATACGTAATTCAAGCGGTTGCGAACGGGAAAATTTTGGACAACACTGTCCGCGCACTCTTGAACTGGCACCGGTCTGCGCTTTTCAAGCCACTAAAGGTCATGAGAATAGATATACTCTGACACGAACAGCCACCTTGGAAGATGGACAAGCGCATTTATTGCTATGAGCACACGTACACGTACATGAAGCCAACAATAAAAATAGAGGGAAGAGTCGAGAAAGAGAGTAAACTCAAACGCAAAAGTACCGTTTTGGCTTGCTTTTATAGGTACCGGAATTAAGAACATTCAAGTTTTCCGCGCAGGGAACGCCATCACTACCACTTCTACGTTCAGCGGTTAAGGTGAATCCAGGGCTCTTAACTACCGTGTATGCATCGCAACCATTTCGAGAAATGACCATTTACGAGCGAAATGTGCGCTATTTTTAAAAAAAAAATTGGATCTTCAATATGTAGATACGTGCCTCAAATGTATTTGGTCAAAATTGAGGTAAAACTTTTCGAAGATACAGGCAGAGGTAATACGAACAAATGTCATCGGTCGACTATCAAAACCTGAGGATGAGCGTTCATGAATGGAGATATTGCATGTGTGAGGAATTCGCGATTTGACTGTTGATTCTTATGTAAAAGTTCGCGAGAAACACGATGGTGCCACTGGTTTTCTCTGAAATCAACTCCCAAGCTCAAAAAAAGCTCTCAAGTTGAGGCCAAAATGGAGGGGATTTCCCACGCTATCCTGAGAGTCCACCTCCACATCAAGACAAACTCTTCATGCAAAGATAGGAAGCAAATACATTGACAGGGCTGCCACTTTATTTGGGAACTCCAAAACTAAAAACACGACAACCCTGCTAATGTATTTGCTCCCTATCTTTGCATGGAGAGTTTGTCTTGCTATAGAGGTGGACTCTCAGGATAGCGTGGGATATCCCCTCCATTTCGGCCTTACTTGAGAGCTTTTTTTGAACTTGGGAGTTGATTTCAGAGAAAATCAGTGGCGCCATCGTGTTTCTCGCGAACTTTTACATAAGAATCAACAGTCAAATCGCAAATTCCTCACACATGCAACATCTCCATTTCGAATGCGTCGCGTCCCTATTTTGTATGCATGTTCCCACTTTTACTATAATGCACTTATGTTTTTTCTTTAAAAATTTTCATGACTGCATTAGTTGTTAAGCGTTGTCCCTACAACATTTACCTAACTCCTACCCGATTTCAGATAAATGGAATGATTGATCAATCGATCGAAAGATCCAGTTTCTTCACTTGACTGGAAGGGGCCTTCGCTACTGCTCATAGATTGCAGTAATATTTATCAAGAGTGGAGGATTGGCTTACGTGTGGTCAATATCCTGCAGCAATATAAACCAAGAAACGATGAAAAAGAGGAAAAAGAAGAAGAAGTATGGCGTCATGAAAATAACCAAAAATAACTCGTTTTGGGGGTTAGGCAAATCGTAAATGAATGCCGAACGCGCTATACAAATCTCCGATGGAAGTTTGACCTTGCAAGGTAAATAAAGCTAAAATTGTGAGTACAGAGAGGGTGATTATCCTCATGCAATTGTTGCACCAATACCTACTGCGCTAAGATTAAGCCCGAAGACGAGGTCTAAAATCGTCGTCTCTGGCATTAGGGCGTACTTGAATTTCTACATGAGTCCCA